GTTGACAAGAATGTTGCGAGATAAGTGGCAGATTACCAAGGACGTCATCGGTCCTAAGCAACTTTAATTCTCTCTATCCTAGAATAGTTTGAAACACTTCATACACGCGTCCAGAATCTAATCCAACACGCTCCGGCCATGGAAGTTATACTTTTATTACCGGTTCTATTGAACTTAACGAGGTCAATTGGGGCGATACGGTTGCCTTGATTTTACGATAGCCGAACGCGATGCGGCGATAAACGGCGATCCTGCCAACCATAAATTGTAATCCACCCACGCGTTTAACAGCTCCCTTTGCGTTTTCAGCACCTGTACCACCTGCAGACCGGCGAAGGGGCGTTCCGGGAGCGTGGAAGGGGACGAGGCAAAGGTGCCACGAGGGTGAGTAATGTGTCTCGATTTAACTCTACTTTTCATCTACTTTTCATCACAATTCAATTCCCAACTGACAATTTTCAAGTGGCATCGTGCGACTCGACTGATGAAATATAGCTTCCTCTCGACTTGAAAATCCGGGGAGATTGTTATTTCGCTGATTTCTTTTCATTAACATTGTCGTGCTTCGGAGCACGTGAAGATTTGAGAAAAATCGCGCGGGAAATTGGAAACAATTTAACCGCAAGAATCTATTGTCGCGATGGGACATCGCGAAAATCAATGATCCATACTCGCGACTACTTTTAATTGCCAAAGTGCGTGCCGCGCCGTAACGCGTTTAGCCCTCCTCTGCCGACGTGGGCCAGCTATCTCTCCGGCTGCCGGCTGTACGGAGTTTCAGAACTGATATTAAGCAAGGTGGTATTGATCGACACAGGTTGCGCCTGTCCGCGTTGCTGCACCGCCATGTTTAAAATCCGCTTGTGCCTTAAGCCGCCGTGCGGACTTAAGCACGCATGCGGCGAGGAGAGAACTTTATTTCGTCGTCGTCCTCGGGACACGGCGTGCGGCATTTAATTTTCCATTTCTCGCTCGTGCGGGAGAAATTCTCTCACTCGAAGAGAAAGTCGTACACTTCAATTCACAGATATATTATAGTTACGTGTTACCGAACTGAACTTCAAAACGATAACGGGGGGGAACTTGTCCGTGCCGAGGAGTACGGGGATGTTCTCCATTTGCTCGATAAATATATAAATCAAGTTCCTCATAAAAATGATTTTTCCCGCCGGGCAATAATTTTCGATCTTGCTTCTTTTTTTCGAATTATCGTTATTCATCGGGCGTTTCAGCAGCGAGGAAATCGGCCCAGCGACCCACGGGGCCTTTCCTTATCTAATCTACCTCAACACGTGGATAAGATAGTGCCACAACATTCCCATGTTTAACCGCCTTGGTAAAATAAGATCACGTAAGAGTTTGTGTATTTCGCTAGTCCCGAAAAAAAAACGCGGCTCTCCTTTTCTTTCTCCTTTAACGCGTGCTCCTTGCATCTTGTTTTCTCGTATTTTTTTTTTTGTTTCTTTTTTTCCCCCCGATGAAACACAACTCGCAACAGCGACGTACATAGGCATGGTGTTCTAAAATTAAAAGAGGGTACAACACATATACGAACGGCGATAGCATGTTGTATAATATAGTAATAAAACGAGGAAAACTGTTGGCGGGTTAAGGAAGGCTTAAGGATAGATCCGTAAGATGGTCCTTCGAGGACTCGTTTATTAACGTCCCTGCAACTTGTTGCTGAGCGCGTTGCCATGCCGGCCCTTCTGACCTCTTTCAGGGCGTCTCTATCCCGTCGGATAGACCCCTTAACGACACCTTCAGAGGGAGGACGAGTTCCTCGGTCGGATCGATTATCTGTTAGCGAGTAACTGATTGAAACATCCGTCTTCTTTTCTCGCCGGGTTAACGCAGAGAGCATCGAACGGATAAACCTGTCCTCTTACCGGCATCTAAATCAGGCTTCGGACGACCGCGATCTGTCTAACTCTCTCGAGTGTGTATTCCTTTCCGTTCCGTCATTTCAATTTTATAAATTCTACATTATTAACTCGGCATTTCCGACTCTATTCGCGCTTAATACCCTCGCTAGATGAGCGCGCGAGCGCGCTCTTCGTTTCTTCCGATACATAAACATTTCTCTGACGGCGGCAGGTATTCTCTTGCCCCACCAATCGCATTTCACTCCCTCCATCGCGTCGGCCACCTCCAGTTACAATGACGCGTTAGTGAACCTAACCATCCCCTCTTCATCACCCCCTCGTCGTCGTCGTCGTCGTCGTCATCGTCGTCGTCGTCGTCGTCGTCGTCGTCGTCGTCGTCAACGGCGGCGGTGGCGGTGGTGGCGGTGGCGGTTGGCGACACCAACACCAACATCGGTTCTGTTGCCTCCCATCGTCTACCTATGGAGAGCCATAGCGATTTCGCGACCTCGCAAGTTTTGTTTTTTCTTTCTTCTCCGCGACCTCGCTGTCGGGACACGTCATTCTGCCGATGCTTGAAGCGTGTATTTCTTTTTTCGTAAAATACTCCGACGTTCTTTCCCCTCTTATGGCTCGTGTAAGTACTACTATGGGGTTTAGTCTGTTTATGCTCGTGAATAAAACGCGGTAAAATTGTCAGATGTAATATCGCGTATTATTGAATTATATCATGGATTAGATAGTTTGGTGTCGTAATTGTTTCTGATGAGAACTAATGAAAGTGGTCCCAATCCGGCAAGATTTTGGGCGACATAGATTTTGGATTAATAAATACCATTCGATTTATCATCCAAAATAAACATGTAATCGAATCAAAACTGATCATGATGTTGATTCTATGACCATCATGTTGATGCTCTAACTCCTTCTTTTAATAGGCCTGTTCTTTTTGGCCGAACTGATTGTATTAGATCATAGTTTATCTTTCTTTCTTACATTGGAAGAAGAAAGATGAACTCTGAACTAGTGCAGCCAGTTGAGCTAAAAAGAACAGACCCATAGTTGAGGAAACATGGGAAACGGTTAAAAATGTTCATTAGTTAGTTGGGAACGCCAGACTAAGAACTCCGGAGAAAAACAAAAGCACAGAAAGAGAGGGAGTGGAAGGACACGAGGAAGAGCGCGGGTGGGAGGGGGGTTCGTGTAAATCGACACGAACGTGCACGAGCATTTCCGAGCTGTTCTACATGGAAGAAACGGCGTCGTGTCTTTGCTGCACGATGGTGTAAATCGTTGAAGCTTGTTTACACGTTTGAGAATGTCCCCAAGTGGAGGAGAAGCGATTGACACAGCGGTCAACGTGATGGTTAAAGGAAGGGTTGGAGACCCGACTTTAGAAACCGCTTTTAACCCCTCGATAAGAATTATGAAGCAGTCAAGCTGACCCCCTGTCTTACGCATTAATCCTCTTTGGCTTATTGAAGAGATCACCCGCGGAGAAAATGGTAACAGGGAGTGAGAGAGAGAGAGAGAGAGAGAGAGAGAGAGAGAGAGAGAGAGAGAGAGAGAGAGAGAGAGAGAGAGAGTAGTAGTAGAGTAGTAGTG